CTGTAGTGTAACAATGCCACCACACACAAACTGGAGGAAAAACACCTCAATCTGCCTCAGGAGCCTACAGCCCAATGGCCTCAACATAGGTTTCACCAGTTTCAAAATCTCCCCACCCCACCCTGGCCTCATCCCATGTCCAACCCTCCCTCTCATCCCCGCCTCCTTGATCTGACACTACCTGTCCATCTTCTTTCCCACCTATCTGCCCACCCTTCCCACTGACCAATCCCCACTACCTGCATCCAACTATCACCATCCCACCTACCTTTCCCCATCCCCACTTCTCCTCCCTCTATTTATTTGCCAGCTCTCTTCCCCCTCCACCAGTCCTGATGAAGGGTGTTAACCCGAAACGTCAACTCCAGCATCTGCAATTCTTGCTATCTCCGAGTGACACAATCCTCATATGGAATTATATCACTGTTCATTCACTGTCATTAAATCAAAATCCTGGGACTCAAATGATTCCTAAGAGCATAATTGGCTTATGTATCCTCTTGGATTGCAGTGGATAACAAAGGTGGCTCACTACTTCCTTCTAAAGGGCAGTTAGGAATGGGTTATAAATGCTGGCCTTGACAATGATGCCCATATCCCATGAATGACAATAAAACAAATTATTTCTCATTCAGATCACTAGGTCCCATCAAACATGGAGTTATCACATGCCAATTATTCACACTGATTTTGCACAAGCATTTCATAATTGATTTTGGACACAGCATAAAAGGTAAACTAACTTCCATCATACACTGTTCATTAATATATCCAGAAAACAACTTGGAGTCAATGAAATACTCAAAGCAGCACAATGCCACTAAATGGTGTTTTCTACCCACGCTCCAATTGGATACCATTACATTAGACGCTAGCAAGAACAACTCATTTATTTAAAGAGGCAGGCAGTTAAAAGCAGGAATTTATATATTAGTAAATTCCACAGCTTCTATTATCTTTCCACGACAGATATTATTAAAAATGTTATAGCAGGGACTCTTAGAAAAGTTTGAGGTAATCAAGCAGCCAATGTCATTTTGCGAACTTAATTATTGAAATTCTTTAAAATAGTAACATGCTGTGGATAAAGGAGAAGGTGTGAAATGTATTGTACTTAGATTTCTAGAAATCATTAGCTAAGATGTCATATCCAAAAGTTATTGCGGAAAATAAAAACTCATGATGGTGGGGCAACATATTGGCATGGATGAAAAGACTGAATGGCTAACAAAAAAAACAGTAGACATAAAGAGGTAATTTCTTGCAAGATGTAACATGTGGTATACCACAAGGATCAGTGCTGAGATTCAAAATAATTTATATAAATGACTTGGATGAAAGAAGTGAAGGTATGATTACTAAATTTGCTAATGAAACAAAGATAGATAGGAAACTAAATTATGAAGAAGGTACAGGGAAGTTACAAAGAGTTTCAGATAAGTGAAGTTAGTGGGTAAACATATGGGAAGGACAGGGAAAATGTGGAAAAATTTGATATTGCCATTTTGGCCAGAATACTAAAAATGTATTATCTAAATGGTGAGAGATCAGAAAGCCCTGAGATGCAGAGCGATCTTGGCATCCTAGTGCATGAATTACAAAATACTACTATGTAGATACAGTAAGTAATTAGGAAAGCTAATAGACTATTATTTATTGCAAGGAGAATTGAATATAAAACAATAAATATAAAAGTTGGTCTTCAAATATTCAGAGCATTGGTGAAATTAATTCCGTCATACTGTATACAGTACTTGTCATGTTATGCAAGGAATGATGTAAATACATTGGTAGCAGTTCAGAGAAGTATTATCAGACTAAAACGTGGAATGGTTAATATTAGAAGAAAAGTTGAACAAGTTAAAGGGAAAGGTGAAATCACGGTAGTCTTACCAGACCACAGGACTGCTTTCCCATTAGAGAGAGAGGTGACTGTTGTTGGTTTTAATCTGTTGGTCACCACACCTCAGGGCAAGGCATGAGGTTGAGAAGGAGAGTCCTTCATGGTAACCTCAGCTGGTGATGGAATTGAAACCACACTGTTGGTGCCACTCTGCGCCACAAACTACTAGGCTAGTACCCAGTGGAGTTTAGAAGAGTACGAGGTGACTTGGTTGATTTGAAACATAAAAAGGTTCTGAGGGGTCTTAACAGGATGGTAGTGAAAAAAATGTTTTATTTTATTGCAGATTCTAGAACTAGGGGTCATTATATAAAAACAAGGGGTCACCCATTTAAGACAAAGATGGTAAGAAATCTTTTTCTCACAAAGGGCTGAGAGTCTTTTGAACACTTTTCCTCAATAGATGTGGAAGCACAAGCTTTGAATATTATTAAGGGACAGGTCAATAGATTATTTCTCAGCAAAGAGACAAAAGATCATCATGGGATAGTGGGCATGTAAGAGTAATCATCATTTTACTGAATGGGGAACAGTCTTGAGATT